GGATGATCGCACCACGTTGTGTGAAAATGGTCAAGCACCCTCGAGGCAGTTACACCGTGCTTACCACTGTCTCTGGAAGTGAAAGCACCAGAAAATAAATTAATTCATACGCAGCTGTCATCCGTACGCAAGGAAGTAAGCACAAGATGCCGAACACCCTTAGCAGGATGCAGCGCACCCTTCATGCGACTCGCCGAATATCTCACGGCGCTTCGCGCTTGGTGATGTGAGAGCCTGGTCCGGTGAGAACCCGGCGTGCTCCGTCCCGGCTTTGTAGGGATGCGAGGTCAATGGTCTAACGACTACGGCATGCACGACTATGAGTACTCCCCCTCCCCCCCTAGCCCAGCTAGACACGCGCCTTGGTTGTCGGGCGAATCACCGGCAGCTACGAATACTGTAGGCGACACAAGATAACACACCCCCTGGAGCCATTTTCAAAGCTAGATTACTCCACGACCAAGAGGATGCATCAACGAAACGATACATTTTCGGAGAGCTCTCGACGATAAGCTTTTAACGCCCCCGTTTTCGGCGCTGTGACTCTCCCTGCTTTCGACAAATCGAGCCCTGAAAATCGGGCCAGGGGGTGTGTTTTCTTGCGTCATATACGGTAAATCTCTCTAACGATGCCTGTGATGTAATACATACACGCACCGCTCTGGGCGGCGCACGTTTGTTTCTCTGGCCTAAGGTGGACGATCGGCCCAACATGCGGCCGGGTGCAAAGTACTTCGAGTGGGAGGCCAAGGGGGTGCCGTTGCGAGTGGAGCTAGGACCAAGAGACGCTAAGGCTGGCGTGGCCATTGTCGTCAAGAGGACGGGAGGTGGGGGGGGGGTTCGCTGCTGGTTTGCCATGTGTTTGTCAAGGTTTAAGTACAGAGCTGCTGTACGTTTTGCTGTTGGAGGAAAGAGAGCATTTTTGTTTGATGGGAGGAAGTTCCTCGGCCTCGCTTTCCTTGGCCGGGAGCAGCTTCTTGTCGTGATGTATCTGCTGCCCCGAAATATTGCTGTCGGCCTAGCTTTGGTACTATGGTCGGCCATAGCGTTGGTGCTATGGTAGTTTACCCAGTAGGGGTGTTCAGAGATACGAGGTCTGTCGTGACTTCGGAACGAAAGACCATGAGCACCCCCCCCCTACCATGCGCGCGCGTGCAATTCGACGTGGGCAAATGTAAAAAAGGATGATGTGGGTTGGGTCTACACTTGTATCAGTGTTGGCGCGGTAGGCCATCTTGAAAGGGACGCACAATATTGACGGTATTTGTGTATGGCAAAGAAAAGCAACACCGGAGCCCCCCCCACCCAACTCAATCGTGGCCCGTGACTGCAGGCGACAAAGTTTCCGTTCTGACCGACGAGAATTTCGTGTCTTGCATCGAGCAGCAGCTTGATGTGGTGAACGATACCTTGTGGCAGGAGGCACAGGACAATCTCGCTAAGGGGTGAGTGGAAAGAAAGGCACGTGTTAACGCCGTATCCAGTGGTATGGCTTGTCTTTCAGGAATGGGAGAGGAACCACGGGTATGGAAGGGGTGTACTCATGTAGACGCATGCGGTCGACCATAGACCTCGCCCGTGTGTGGGGGACGACATGCCGCTGTGTGTACGTATATCCTGTCATTCTGCTGTGTTGGTCTTGTTGTTACTTTTTTTTTGGGGTAGCTCAGTTGTCGTGTTGAGTGCTAACGGGCACACGCTTCGTGCGAACGAGGCATCTCTGAATACGAAAACACCGTTTTCCAGGATTCAACACTCGTAGCTGCCCCCCCCCTCTCAGGTAAACATTCATACGAAGCACATCGTTCTTTGACCTTCCTGACACTGATACGAAAAATACTACCACGTCACGGAAGCCGTCTCTCGCTTGGCGCAACGCCTGCGTGCTCTTTAAAACCATCGCTACCATCTGGCACAATTAACGATGACCCCCCCCACCCCACCCCGCCTGCTTTGGGGGGGCAGCGCTCCCCCCTCTCTCGCGACGTTTCGATGAGCCTCTCCATGTCGTGGCATACTTTTGTCGAGCTCTTTGCGACTATTGTTGTAGCTGCCTGCGTGGCTGGGTGCTGGCGACACATGTTCAACAGCAACGCTTGTTGTGATTGCGCCCCCGGCGCCCCCGACTATGTGCGCCAATGTTTATGACGCCCGGCAGGACGATCCCGGTGTCGTCGTATGCGGAGATGAAGGCCCACATCGAAAGCGGGGACCCCGCAAGAACGGGCATGTACCTGGCCGCGTGGGCTTGCAACACGGAGAACGAGGACTTCATCCAGCAAGACTCCAAAGCTACCCTCAGGCGAGAGCTACACGGAGCCCCCATCCGACATATCGCTTGTTGTAGGAATGCGAGGCCAAGGGTCTAACGACTACGGCACGCGTTAACATGAGTTTACCCTCCCCCGCCGCCCCCCCCGGTGTTTTGCCATCGGGGTTGGGTTTTCGTCGCTTGGCAACGACGTTGTAAAACAAGCCGCCCCCCCCGGTGTTTGCCATCGGGATTGGGTTTCGTCCCTTGGCAACGACGTTGTAAAACAAGCCAATTCACTTCGTGAACTCGGCAACCAG